AGCATTGTATAAATTTTAGAGCGATTTGAGATGAAGGCTATTGGTATCGTCACCAAAATACGTGTCGTGTAAGAAATCGAGAGCCTTATCTTTAAGGTCAAGGTCACAAGAGTAGTCATAATTCCACTCGAGGAACTGAAATACCAGATGAATTTAACATGGAAATGACACCTGAAATATAATGGCAAATTCAAGACGGGAATGATACTTGAGGGACAAGGTCACAAGAGTAGTCATAATTCCACTCGAGGAACAGAAATACCAGATGAATTTAACATGGAAATGGCACTTGAAATATAATGGCAAATTCAAGACCGGAATGATACTTGAGGGACAAGGGGGATTGAACACGGGGGACGGAAAAGGCAGTTGCGGACAAGGAGAATTTAACATGGGGATATTGGAGAAACAATTATGGCACTTGGGGGACAAGAGAAATCATGTGTTAAGTCTGTCTGTAGGGTTAACATTATAGAGACTAAGTATATAGGGTATATAGGTTCAAAAGGGTTTATAGGGCCATAACGATTTATAGGGTCAAAAGGGGTGATGGGTTTAAAGGGGAAGTGGTAAGGGTTTATTGTGAAGTCGAAAATATGCACAAACGCACGACACAGACACAAAACAAAAACACATTTTGGCAAGAGCAAAAATAGTATCTTTTCGAAGCATGTGGTTGGCCCTGAAAAGAACTGTTGGATTGTTTTAGAAACTCATTCTAGCTACAATAAACGACATCTCACTGGGCGTTTTATCTTCCTTAAACTCAGTCTCACAATGGGCCCGTGCAACACCTTCTACGGACAACATAGTCTTTCCACATTTATTCTTCTTTTCCATACAGCTGCATCGGCGAGTCTGGTAATGGCCAACGATGCCTTTACATTCATGAAATAGTCAGGACTGAACAATATCCCAGAAACCAAAGAAGGCGATTCAATGTTGATCTACATCTTTTCGTGAAAACAGATGAAACCATGGGACAAAACACTTGTATTTAAGGTCTAATGTTGGATCGAAGCGGATTGATATGTTTCACCAATCCAAAATCGCGTTACAAAATTCAGACACAGTACGGAATCTCTCTTTCACATCACATGAAGTCACATTGTTTAGGTTTCAATTACAATTATGTTTTTGCTTTAGGACTTAACAGCTTTGTAACATACTTGATATACTTATATAATGTTATTAGGAGATGTTTTCGGTTGTCTGTTGCAAGTGTTATCATAAAGGTCAAAGTAACATGTAGATATCTTAATGGTCATTAATTTGTTAATGCTTGATACCATAAAAGTAGTTTGATGTTCAGGGATGAAATATCGTATACTTATGCTTCTAATTTTGGTAGTATCTCGTGTATCGCTGTCAAGGTTTAATCTTCAAGGTCAAGGTGAGCTATCAATTTTATTAACTCTGACCATCGTAAGCACCGGATAGATATTCACGTATAGTCTGCCTTTGGTCCATAGTGAATCTTACCACCACCTCCTATCTTTGAAAGTATTTTCCTGGATCAATGTCAATCTAGCTGAGGATTATTTTATTCCTTCAAAGCTTAAAAATTTCAAACCAAAACATGTTGCAGTAGCGAAAACAATTTTAATTTGGAAAATTTAAGTCATAACTGATATAATCCAGTGCCTTTGATGAAAATACAAATACTAGAACTAGCCCTACGTGTGTTCAGTCACATACAATATTTAAATTCAAACAAATTTTATCTTAGATTTTGTTTTAAGAAACAATTAACGTGTACATGTATGTAATAAATAATGCGTCAGAATTAATATACTGGCGATAATAATTGAACAAATAACTGCGTCCGGGCTATTATAAATCGTACTGCACCTCCTGCTTTGCGCATAGAACGTGCATTGCTGCACTGATAGTTCTTTTATACAAATTAACTTAAGGGTCACAACCTCTGCATATAGCCTTAAAGTATGGTAAATAAATAGATTAGTTGAAACATGTGCGAAATTTTATTTTCCAAAATGCTACCGAAAGAAAATAAACGATTTGAATTTTAAATTAAACTGCTTTTATTTTGGTAATTCAGTTTTTTGATATACCTAAAGAAGCAACATTCGCATTCACATCGAAGGAGACAGTAAGTGGTGTCTTCCAAGCAATGGACTATCTACGTTGATGTAAGTTAGTAAATGATGATAGCACTTAGTGTAACATCATTGACCTCAATGATCAGCACCATTTAGCAAATATTGCGCTAACATTCCGTTACATATACATGTATATTTACATACACACATTCTGTCTAGTACTCAAATCCCCCTCCTTCAGCATGCTTTCTGCCTCGAAAAAGACCGCAAAATTATATATATATATATATATATATATATATATATATATATATATATATATATATATATATATATATATATATATATTGGTTGGTTGGCGTCCGTTAGTCTCGAGAGACGATGGAAATGCGCCCATGAAAGGTGTCCTAGTTTGTAGCTGTGCAGCATCTTCTGTGACTATAAAGTCCCACACGGGAGTGGCAATCCTTGCTACAGTTGCTACACTTGAAGTATGAATCAGGTCTTGGTTGGAACTGCATCCTCTTCCTCTGAGATCTTTTCTCATCAGCGAGCTGTCGTAACTTTTCCTCGCTGGCTTTCAGACCTGTGTACAGAGCATGTCGCCAGCTGGACATGTCGAGGGCAATCTCTTCCCAGGTGTTGACCTTTATTCCAAGAGCTTTCATATCCTGCTTGCAGACATCCTTGAAGCGAAGATGTGGCCGTCCTATTGATCTTCTGCCTGAGGCAAGCTTAGAGTAGAGAAGGTCTTTGGGGATCCGTCCATCATCCATTCTATGCACATCGCCCAGCTATCTGATGCGACGTTGGCGGAGGAGTGTGACCATGCTGGGAAGTTTGGCCTGTTGAAGCACCTCGTCGCTCCAGGTGAACCCGAGTATGCGACAGAGACAACGCATGTGAAAGGCATGCAGTCGTTTCTCCTGAGAGGCGTACAGGGTCCAAGTTTCGCTGGCATACAGGAGAGTGCTAAGCACGCAGGCACGGTACGCGGAGATCTTATTGTTTAATGTCAGCTTGCTGTTGTTCCACACTCTCTTCGACAATCTAGAGAGAGTTGTTGACGCCTTTCCAATCCGCTTGTTAAGCTCGGCATCGAGTGAGAGGTTGTTGGTGATGGTAGAGTCAAGGTAAGTGAACTCACTGACTACTTCTAGTTTGTAGTTGTTAATGGTTATGCTGGGAGGGTCTGCGTCCTTTGCCATCACGTTGGTTTTCTTTAGGCTGATGGTCAACCCGAATTCATCACATGCTTTAGCAAAGCTGTCCATCAGGCGTTGTAGTTCAGCTTCTGTGTGAGTGACTATAGCATCATCATCTGCAAAGAGCATGTCCCTAATGGTTGCTTTCCTTACTTTGCTCATTGCCTTCAGTCGTGCCAGGTTGAACAGTCTGCCGTCTGAACGCGTGTGCAGGTAGATCACTGTACACAGTATCTCTGATGTTGTCCCATCTCTCTTTGGCACTGCCGTAGGTAGGTTCTGAACTCAACGCCTTGGAGAGGGCGTAAGTGAATTCTTCAGCCTTGTCTGGATATGACGTCTTGCTCACATCGATGTGTGGTTTACCCACTTGCCTAGAGTGGTGGATCTTTGGTTAAAGCTTAAATTTACAGCAGACTAGAGAGTGATCGGTGTCGCAGTCAGCGCTGTGGAATGTACGAGTAAGCTGCACACCCTTCATGGCTGAACGTCTTGTGATATTCAAATCCAGCTGATGCCAATGTTTGGATCGGGGATGCCTCCAAGATACTTTGTGCTGTGGTTTTGTCTGAAAAAATGAATTGGAGATGCTGAGGTTGTGGAACGAGCACATTTCTAGTAGACGTTGCCCGTTTTCATTCATCTTCCCAATGCCAAACTTGCCGAGACACAAAGGCCAGGAGTCGTGATCGGCACCCACCCTAGCGTCGAAGTCGCCCAGTAATATCAAGTCCTCTTCCTTCGGAATATTGTCGATGAGCGAGTCGATCTCGTTGTAAAACGCATCATTGGTATCTGTGGTGGATATGCTATTTATTTTTATTATGGCCAATAAAATCTGATCTCCGAAATTGAAATGGTACCCGCCTGTGAAGATCAATGTAGGAGAGAAAAAGTAATGAAAAACGAGCACCTGAAATTAAGTTAGAAATACGAAAGAAGAAATGTTTTTACGAATGAACGTCGGATACAAACCTATAAATAAATTTATTTAGTAGATATAATATATTTTTCAGGGCTGTTTTCAAGTCAAATAAAAATATTTTAAACATCAGCAACTTAAATTCATATGAAAAATCGTGTGTAGAACTTAATGCACGTATATAACGTACGAGTGTTCATAATAGGAATTTCCATCTCACTTCTGTCTGCGTGAGTTCGAGTGCAGACTAGGTTAACGTGGGTAAGTGAGAAAGCCTGCCAGTAGCTTCTCGTGGGTCGGTGGTTCTTCCCGGGGTTTTCCAGGGTTCTTTCTCCACCATTAATACTGGCTGCAATGTATAGCCTATCTTGAGCTGAAAAATGGCGTTAAACACTACTACAACAACAACTAGTTCAAGGTGAGAGTTATTTGAGCTTTAAACAAGGTACATTACTGCAGCGCACACGAACTTGCTCGATTTTGGCAAAGAGCTACACCTACTACTAGATCTCATTAAGTCTAATTCATTATGTGAGTTGAAATCGTAACTGATATAATCTAGTGCCTTTGATGAAAACACAAATACTTGAAATAGCATAAAAGGTGCTAAGACTGTCACATACGATAATTAAATTTGAACAAATTTTTATCGAAAAGATTAAAGAAACAATGAACCTGTATATATATGTAATAAATAACAGGGGTTGGGGACGGGCATTATTTGCCTTATTCTTTGTAAGATTTGTTTCGAACTGGGGTCAACAAATCAGGTATGAATATTTCCGTTTCCATTTTACATTATTTTAAATTGCTCTGGTGGCCTAGTTATTAGAGCGTCCGCCTCGGATGGGATGCGGGAGGTCGTGGGTTTGAACCCCGACCAAGTCATGTCAAAGACTTCAAAACTGATACTAACAGCTGCCTCGCTTGGCGCTCAGTATTAAGAGGTTAGTGTTAGGACTGGTTGGACTGGTGTCATGATAATGTGACTTGGTCGGACATCATGCCACATGTCTGCGGTATGATGCCCCAGTGCTAGACATCACTATAAACTGCCACGCTGCAGACATCGTAGCGATATGATTGAAAAATTGTTAAAGCTACGTTAAGAATCTATATCACACACATACACACACACACATTCTTCCGTAAACGATTGTGCGCGCCGCACACACACATACACATAGTTTTTTCTTATTATGCAATGATTATTATTTATCACATGTTCATTTTGATACTATCATGTTTTCACAAGGGTACATAATTGATAATACAATACTATACAACAGGCGGTTTAATTCGAACTTTGTGCACAATTTTCCTCTCTGATTATTACAATAGTGATTAGTATTACTGTTCAGAGGAGCCTTCAGAGTTTGTGTCTGTACATAAAAACTATGACGTTGGATTTACATACACTTGCACTGATATTACTAAGACAAGAAACGTTGATTAGCGTCCTGAGAAGAACTCTGCTAATAGTTTGTAAAAACATCCACATTTTAATTGCATTTGTTAGTTATAAAATATTGCTGAATGCTACCGTATTTAAGGTTTAACAGAACTGATTTTGCATACAGCGTGTTTCCTACATAATATTTGAATCAAAACATGATTTGGTTACACTACTAGTTGACAATAAATGCATCGCTTGTTTTCTTGCAAAGGTCGTGAATTATTGATACGGACTCACACCAGAACTCGCTATAATTTTTATTCAAGACATTTCTATACTAATTAAATTCTTCAAATTTTTCCATTATTTGTATACTTTTTTTATTGAATCCATTGCATTAGTTATGAGTTTAGATGCACAAACACTATTTGACATGTGTTCGGTACAAGCCTGGACAAAACGCATACAAAAATATCAGCATTTTTGTAAACGTCACAGTTAAATGAAATGAATAACACCTGTTTAATTTGTCATCCTGCGTAGAGGCTGAAATACATACTCATTCCATGTATTTGTTTTTGTTTAAGTTGATTCCATGCAACATAACACTGTGTAGCAAATCTGCTCGTAATAAGTGTAGAAAAATGTATGTGGTTCTTAACTTTGCTTAGGATCTACAACATAATGCAATAAAAACGGAGGGGTTCATTCAGTGTAGTGAATGGTGATACCTTACTTAAAATATTTTATGCCACAAATTTTCAATGTAGATTGCAGTAGGATCGAAAACTCTAAACATTGCTCTCCATCATAAAGAATAGACGAAGTCGAGATAAACTGAAAGAGAGAAGGGGATTATAATAAGATTGGAAAAACAAAAAGTAAATGTATAAATGGAGATATAGATAAACTGACATCTAAACTGGTGCATGACAGACTCGATTGGTGCATGATGGACTCAACTGGAGCACGAGATTCTATTAGTGCATGATATACTCTTTACAATTGAAACGAGACTCAGTGCATGATGTTCTCTTTACGATAAAAGCATTGCATATATGTTCATTCTCATTATAGTCTATACTTTACTTTGCAGTATATGAATCATTTTCAAAGAAGTGCGAAAGTGTCCGAATATTTTCATTTCTTATTTTATTATAAAATCTAACCATGATAAATAAAATGATAATCATTCCAGTTTGAAATCCAAAAGAACAGAAAGGATCAGCGAAAAGGTTTGGTATTAATTATGCATACAGTAAAGTTTTAATCGGGAAGATAAAAGCAAAATTTGACAATAGCTGCAAACTAAATAGTCGGGAGCTGAAATAGTACATTTTGTTATATCTTTTCCAATGATTCTGACAGATGAAATATTTTATTACTTGCAAATGTAGCTCATTCCATGAGTTAGTCATAATTGAAAAAAAGTTTTTTTTTTTAAAGAAATTTCCAGTAGATATGTAGAACATTGAAGTTGCTTGAGTTTCACAAAATGTTTTATATAGAATATCTGCTTTTCTTACTGTCCTGTTATTGTCAACGTTGTGTCTTGACGATATGATTGGTTTCAAAATAATCTAATGTTTCTACTCTCTGCAAAGTGATATCTTGAAAATTAAGGTATTATTCACACACCTTGCCAGGTGATATTCTCTGATTTTTAGATAATTAGAGCAAATTGAAATGATCCGAATTCAACCATCAACCATCAACCATCATACAATTGATCTCGGGTAATTTTATGGAATCGGCAAATGTGTCACAGATTGTCAAATTATAGCCACTACATCGTCTTGTAGTGTGTCAAGTGGCTATTAGGTTGTAGGCTCCTTCGACGGACCAGATCTCCGGTATCTCTGAACTTCTGGCATAGTCGGCATTAGTCAAACTTTGACTGTCACTGTCAGCAGAACGTCTGCTAGACAAATAAATACTTAGGAATGTTATTATGGCAACTATTACCACCAGAATGACAGTCAAGGTCACGATGAAGATTATATCTCTAGGGCTGTATGTGTATGGCACATAGCTTTCCCCTAAATTGCCTGAAAAATGAAAACAAATGAATCTTTAAGAATTAAAGCCATTAAAAAAACGATAATAACAGCACAGCACAAAGAGGAAACAAAAAAAACCCCCAAACCCCAAAAATTTACCATTGACAAATAATTCATGAAGGTCACAGTATTGGAGAGAATTCACTGACATTAATAGACTATATCTTTTGGCTGACAGTGATGGTCTGATGTGTGATCAAGGAGACGTTAACCTTTCACACGTTTAGAATTGATGTGTAACCAAATAATATTATATAAGATAATAAGTGGCATTTAATTTGGCTCATATATTCCAGGTTGTAACTAAGGAGTACGATATATTTTATTCAAGTTTTCAACATTCTTTGAAATTTTTTTAATTAACATTATGGATTTCAACTTTATCGCTTGAACTACAAGCTGGAGAGCGACTAAGAATCATTAGCTCTTCTCCTTACAAGCGTAACACATGCTATATAACCAGTCTTCCGAGTCTTTCATTTTGGAACTTAGAAACTACAAGCGCGTTGAGCGCTTTTATCCTATAATTGATAATTTAAATACACGAGGCTTTTCGCAACGTTTCGTCCTATCAAACCAAGCGATTCATATAAAAAAACCGGCCGCTACTCGCTATAAACATCATTGAATCAAGGTTCTTAAGATTCAAATCGTGATATGGCCTATTATTCAGAAATTTTAATGTCAATAATAGCGAAGTTAGTGCTATCCGATTTCTTCATCTGAAGATATAAGGACTCAACTCATGAAAAATAATAATGAAATGGAAGAATCTTGTCCGTTAATCAATATTTTAACGCACTGAACTTACTTTGGTTATGCAGTTCTATATGTGGCCCTATTGACTATCGGAAACGTTTCTCCGATCCAAGTTTTCCTAGACATTTTGCAAATTACACACAAAATTAAACTTAAACCAAAATTATGCGATCCTGTCAAATCAAATTAGCATTTCATTCTACAGCATGTAAACGCGAGGTGTAAACCAGATAAAAGCCGAGAGTAATTTCCGACATTTATTTGGACAATTACCAATTTTTCAGACTCTTACTTTGTAGAAATCTGTCAATACGCTTACCAAGCTTTCAGACTCTTACTTTGTAGAAATCTGTCAATACGCTTACCAAGCTTTCAGACTCTTACTTTGTAGAAATCTGTCAATACGCTTACCAAGCTTTCAGACTCTTACTTTGTAGAAATCTGTCAATACGCTTACCAAGCTTTCTAACTTTGTAGATATCCGTCTAAACACTTAAAAAGCTTGCTTACTTAGTAGATGTCCATGTTACGAACAAAACTGATATCATTTGCATTCAAATAGCAAAAATAGTTAGAACTTCAAATAGCTTTTCTGTCTGAACCATACACCATTCCATTAATTACTCATAATAAATTGGCAAATAACGTTTTGAGACACACTAAAGCAGTTGACTATAATGAGGATTTTAGCCAGACCTCTAATATGTAATAGGTCGAAAGCATGATTACCCCCTCCCAACCCCCGTTAGTCTAAACAAATACGAAAACAACTTTGTTGAGACAACAGCGTCGATTTCATTTTTGATAACCTGCAAGGACCTGCCACTGAATCATCATAGACGTCATATAAACTAGGGTTGGCCTTGAAATTATAGTTACTCTTGCAGTTTTTACATGAACTCGCTAGCGATTTATATTTATATTTGACACAAAATTACTGTGCATAACAGTCAGACAAAATTACTTTATATAACATTCAGACAAAATTCCAATCCGCTATTAATCACTAGCTGGGATCTGCAGTTCAAACGGCTGAGTAATAAAATAAATTCGCTATTAATAAATACGCTTGGATTTTACAAAACAATCAATTTACGTATTTCACAGCACGCGCTCCATGGATTGTCTAGCATAAATTTTACATCATTCGCAGATGTCTGATTCCCAATGGAGCCTCTAGACGATATTTTTATACAGCCACCTGTCGAAATATTTTTTAAATTACATCTTTTGCTATTATATAGCTTTCATCGTCATAATGAAACAAGTACATATTAACTTTAACAACAATGAGAGAACCAGGTTTTAGCATTTGGATGAAATATTCATGTGACACTATGGATTTATCGACATAACACTTTTTGAATTCTTCATCCACCGCGATCTTTGTGTATTTGTTTTGTGATATCTGATTATGAAGATTATAAGCAAATTAATAAATAAATATAATTTATAACACATGCAAGCTTACTAAAGAACTCTAAATTTTCTGTGCGAACCAGAGACAACGTTTGATTAGTTCTGTTCTTGAAATATGTGCTGTACTTTTCATGGTCAAACATATCCTTACCTCAGAAAGGAATTCATTTCCTCTGTAACGTGGTATCTTCCACTGTAATATCTTCCATTTTTTTTATAGTTCACACAAAATATTTACTATCCTTAGTTTTGAA